TGCTGACCTCAGTGTATTAACACGCTATTACATGTGATGGTGTGTACGCCCATGGTATCTTGATGCCCTACATGAGGAGTCATTACGAAATTCCTCATTACCAATTTGTGGAAGTTAATAGCTGAAGTATGTGATAGATTGAAGAAATAATAAAAATGGACAGAGTTAGGAAGAAGGTTGTTATTTATATTGGTTTTCAAGTAACTTAAGTTTGGAGCTATTCCCTCTGGTAGTCAAAAGCTGCAGGAGGATCAAGCAGGTGTCAGAGGCCATGCAGGGTGCAATTGTGTAATGATTAATAGCACTGTTAAATGGGATCAGTTAATTCCCAGCTACTGTCAAAAGCATATTTGGGTTTGAAAGATGATTGGAATATAAAAAAGATTGAAGCCTACTGTTTAAAAGCATAACAGTAAAGTAATTATTTTATACTGGATCCTGCTGCTTCTGTATAAATGAAATGAAAGTACTGACTGAGCTTGTCATGGAAGTCTGCATAAGGCTGCTCTGCAAATCCATGTGTAGGCACCTAAACAATCCACCTATGCGAAACAGCTGCCATTTCTTCCTTCTTAAAAAAAATGGTCTCTTGACTTTGATACTGTAATTGAAAAAATAAACTTGGCCAAAATAAGAATGCTATGAATGGTTGTAACCACTTAAATCTTGACATTGAATATGACAGTATTTACCTTAAAGTAGCATCTCTGTTTTCTCTATTTTCCTTCATGCATCTAGCTTTGAATGAAATGGCGTTTGCTCTTTATAGAATACTGTAAATAAATTCAGTTCTGCAAAGCACTATGAGGAATTATTGTACAGTAAATACTTAAGTCCAGTTATTTCTATTTAATTGCATATGAAGCTTCATTCTTATTTTTATAATATTGCCAGAGTTTTGAAAATCCTGTGTTCGTGAAAGTGATACGCTGTATTTTTGCTGTGCTTCCTCTGCCCTGAAGACTGTCATATCCATTTGCTATGTTACATGCTAAGCCACATGAAGCCATCTGCTTATGCAATATTGTTAATGAACAGTGACACAGAGAGACTGTTGCCAGGTGTGGTGTTTGTTTGTTTTTTAAATGTTGCACATGTATAATCAACACTGTCCAATCAAATGCACTGTTGATCTGATCAGCTCTTAGAAGCTCCACATGACACGAACTGACAACGCCACAAATAAATGGTTAGATTTGAGCATAAGGTGCCTCTGCACAGATGCACCAACTTCATCCTTTTTGTATGTTTTCAAGAGTAGAGTGAGTAATTTATTCTCAGGAAAAATGATTTTCCCTTAGGCAAACTCTTACTAATTATGACAAGCCCATGGCAGCCTCAGCTACCTTTTCTTGTTGACGATTGTGTCTCCACTGTAGGCCCAAAAAAAATGGGGCTCGGTGCACGGCAAACCCTACCTTTCTTCACAGCTCCTTCATCCTGCCTTGTGAAAAAGCCGTGTTCTATCATTTCTTTCATTTTGTGGCTCTTCACGGGTGGAAGAGAGAAGAGAGAAGCTTGGAAGACTGAGCCCCCAAACTGTGCTTGAAATACTTTGTAGGTGCTGAGATGGCTGGAGCACAAGGGTCTCAACCAGGACAAACAGGAGAAGGACAGAAAATGAAGGATGCTTTTCTCCTCAATTCGCTTTATGCCATAGTTGACTCACTAACTTCCATTACTCAATATCTGCTGGGAGGAGGAATTTTTAAGGGAAGAGCAAGGCTTCTGTGGAGCCCTAAAAATAGAGAAAGGAGGAAGTGATCTGGTTTTGTAGGGCTGCAGGGCTTGAAGCACCATGTAAACCCGTGCTGCAGGAGCTGAGGACATAAAGCTCCGACTCCAGTGTGAGGCTGGGAAAGGAATTTTGCAATGTTTACCTATGTCTTTGTCAATATTTTCTTTGAGGTTTAACGCCATCAGAACACTAAAATTTGAATGGTCAGTCCTATCTCTGCTCCATTACACAAAGAGAGAGCTGGCATTGATTCAGGCCCATGGAGTGACTGTAGATCTGTAGCAACGTAACAAGAACTGTGAACCCACAGAGAGAAGAGAGATGTGACCATCACGTATATCAATGCTTTTATTCACAAATTTATTCAGCGAAAACTGTTTCAGGAACTCACATTATCATCTTTCTCATGCTCTTTCCTTTTAAAATTCACTGCAGAAGACAGAACAGAATAGAGTCAGTTTTTCTTTGGAAATCTCTCCATAAAAACTTCCTATACTTGTTTCTAAGACTTCAAAATAATATCTTTCTAGTGGGTCTTCATCAAAAACAGCAAGCAGACAAAAAACTATGTGCAATTTGAAAAACAATGTTTAAAATAGAGCAATTATGGTGGTGCTCATTCTGAAGTAAAAAATGTATTTCAGGTGTTAGTGAAAAAAATCTAAAATGTTGCTAATTCATGAGAGGGATAAAATAAGTATTTCTTTCAGCACTGGAAATACTACAATATTAAAAATGTTAAAGGCATTGAAGAACTGTATTGTGGTGCTACTAATTTAAGAAGTTCCACCTTTTCTGTCCTTTTACATTAGTTCAGGACTTGCATTATCAATATGATCAGTTATTGTACTTAATATCAGCTTTTATTGCAATTATGTGAGTTTCAAAGTTAGAAGTACGCTGGGTTTGATATTTCTCATCTGGTTTTATTTCCATATACATAAAATCAAATAAATAAAGATCTTCTCTATATTGTGTTCACGCAAATGATACATTTAGATGAAGACAAGATGTCTTGAGATAACCAATTCCTCCTCCCTCCCGCCTTAACAGAACTAGTCATGGCTGAAAAAAACGAGGCAGGAAATAAGTCTGCTATCTTATCTTCCTGACACTTTCCTTTTTATTTCTCTTATGAATGCCTGCCACTTACCGCTATTTAACAAGCAGGCATGCCATGCAAGCAAACCATTCAAGGAAGTTTTGGTTCTCTTGTTTAGAGGACTTGCAGTATGAGTAACATCACAATTGGGTTTTTTTCCAAAGTTCATTCTGTCTTTCACAGTGATCTCATTAAGTTTCCTTGACTTCCTTGAAAACAACCAACTCAGGTGGTTTGTGGGAGACAATTTTCTTCCACATAAACCACACAAGTCAGGATGAATCATAAATGTCTTTGCCTTGGCAGAACTCACAGCTTTAGCATTGGTGCCCATGAATTTGTGCCAGTCCCTGCAGCATGTCAAAAGATAGAGAGAATGGTGTAAGTATGAGATGTGGCAATGATGACATTTGATATTTCTGAACTGTAGAGAGATTGCTTCATGGAGGAAAAAGGTGCTGTAAAATGTCTTCAAATGATTTTTGGCATGATAAAGCTATAAAAATGATCTATAAAACAAAACTTTTCCCTCCAAGTTTCCAGCATTCATTTCTTATTCCCTAGCTGCTCCTTCTTTGTTTATTCAAGCAGCAAATGTTCGGGGCCACTTGTCCAAGACTGAACTGTGAAAAGCGATTTGTAATTCTGTTGCCTTGTACAGTGTATTCAGTTTCACACATTGCTCCTTTAGGTATGCAAGGTGTGTTAATCAGTTGTATTTTCTAAAGTTTCTTCTTGGAAATGAACTTTTTACCTCCCCATGTATTAATATTTTACCTGTGTATTAAAGATAATGACTTCACATCATGCAGAGATATAAAACCAGAGAGTATTGCCTTCTGTTGCTCCAGGTAGTACTACTTGCAGTAGTCGGAAAACAAAATTCAGTGCTTTCCACTCTGGATTGCACAGTAGACTGAGACAAGCAGATTCTGCCTGTTATTTTCAAGGAGAGAGATCTATGACCTTTTCTAAAAAATTGACTTCTTTTTGAAAGGATAATTATCAAAGGCTATGTCTCCTCCAAGGAGGAGAGGGAATGGGGCTGCTGTCTTTCTAAGGATCAAGTACTTCCCTGCCCGAAGGCTGGGTGCTTGGTTGCCCCCCGGTGTTCAATGGCATTATAGCACTTCTCCAGAGCGTAGGAGCTGCTTGCCTTTTCCTTGCATCATTTTCTAACCTCAATCCTGTCCCTCTCTATTTCATCTTACTCTAAAGTTTCTTTATAGTGATGCATTGCTGCAGTTCAGTTCTCTTTTTTCATGCATAGACAACAAAAGAAAGTTGTTTGTTACCAGCTGTAATGCAGCTGCGTAATGCCAATGAAGACAATGCCATACAGACACGTGGTGGTAGGAGCCCACTGAGGACATCTTAGCATCAAACTCATGGTAGAATCTGGCCTTCGAAATCTTCAGTGTTAATGCCAAGAGTCAACCCTGTAGTGCGGCTGTCCCCATTCGTTTGGCAGATGACTTTTTGTTGCATTTGTTCCCAACAGGTAAAGTGCATCAGGAGGCAGGGACAGTGGTCACAACACATAGACAGGACAATAGGCAGCGTCAGGCTCTTTGACACCTCTGTTTTCAGGGCCCCTCTGCTCACTAGGTGCTGAGGAGGAGAGGGAAAAACAGGAGAACTGTGGGGTCTAAAGAGCAGCATGAGGGAAAGCAAAAGGTTTTGTCAGAGATGCCTTTTGTTAAAGGCTGGGAGGACTAACCTGGAGTTGCATGGCTGGCAGATCACCATATAAGCGCAAATGTATCTCAAATTATTTGTTTTGTTTGTCAACACTCAGATCTGATTTTTTTTTTTTTTTTGATAAAAGAAATGCCATCTTGCAATACAATTTGCAAGTTATCAGATTCCAAGGATTTTAAGGGCTGAAGTACTTGTTTCTTAATAAGTGCT